AACAAGATATATACACAGATAACATTATCTAATAAATCACACCTGCAATTTTGATTATTAATTTTATAACTGTACAGCAATCAATTGTTTGATGTGGCTCCGCTGGAAGAAGCACAGAGTCTTTTTGATTGGGCAGTAAACATCTGTGAGTTTTGTATTTATGTCGGAGTTATGAGCTGGAGACCCCTGGAGCAGGAGGGATGTATTTAAAGAACATTTATACTACACCATACAAATTCAAAACATTTAAATTTGAAAAATGTATTTCTTGCAATATTACATCTCGTCTGAGCAGTAAAATGTTTAATAAAACATGTAACATAATCATTGTTGTGATTTGTAAGTCATGTATATAACTGGGAAAGTTATGGTTTTAAATCACGATGTATTCATTCATGGTTATTTATAATACTCTGTGAGAGATCTTGATAAAGGCAATGTCTAGATATTATGCCTGAATCTATCTGGTAGTTTCACTGTTAACAAAGATGTTGTACTGAAGCTAATTTGACCAACTAGCCAAGTGAGGTTAACCTAACGAAGAATTACCTTTGATGTCTGGTTGTGGAGGCGATGCATAGTTTATATACCGGATTACGTCAGTTGGAGTTTTGACTTCAAAAGTTGGGTTTATCCAAGTCTGAGTACGGAAAAGAAGAAAATAGTCTTCAGTAATTAATACCTACAGAAGTAAACACGTTAAATGTAATAAAAAATTGTTCTGGCTCCAAAATATTAGTTTCCTATATCTTTAAATAGCAGAAGGTCTACTGGTGATTCGAATGTTGACTGGAATTTTAACGTAAAAGAAAACGTACCGTTTGCATGTAACTGTTCTGCTTATGTGGGACGTAGATTGAGATGATAAGAGCTGTTATGACCGCTAGCGTCGCCACGACCAAGCCTTTAGTAATGACACCCACCAGACAAGATTGGGACACCACACAACTATGACCTGGAAAGCAAGAATAAAGAGAAAACTGAATTCAAACATGACCATCAGGGCAACTGCATACCATTTGTCTCTACGGACATTTTTACGCTGGTAATTTTCAATAAAAACAAGAAGCCATAGGTGACAATCCTCCGTGAAGTTTTATATATTTCAACAAAATCCCAAGCGTCAACGCCAGACCTACTGTGCAGACATTATAATTAGGCAACGGTTAATACAATGAGGGCGCGTCACAAGCATAAAACATACAAAGAGCTAAATCCATTACTGCTCCCAGGGCGTGTAAAGATACTGTGCTTCAAGTTCGAAGTTCATTTTAATTACACACACACAATCATTGCATTCACATAAAGATCGGACTATCATGGTCGTGTCTAGTAACAAAGACAGCCCCACCGTCCCAATTGAAAAAAGGGGCCCTGCCGGGTAGTTCCCGGGTAGTTTTATGGCACTTTCGGGCGTGACCCCCGTGTGGCCCCGCGGGACACCCTGTGGCTACCGGGCTATTTTTCGGCCCGGCGGTGACCCGAGAAGATTTTAATTCTGACTTAAATTCTACCCGGGCCCCGCTGACAAAAAGATGCCGTGACCTACCAGTGAGATCACCGGAGGGTACCCCTACGGTTGCCGGCAGTCCACCGGGACACATCTGTTACGTCACAGACCAGATGAACAGGTGTGTACTTCGTAAACCCGGGTAAAATGTGTGACGTCACAGATAAAATGATCAAAAGCGTGAATTCTGCATTACGTATAGGTCAGTACAAGACATTGTCAGAAAAGCTGCTGGGTACCTGCCGGGTGCCTGCCGAAGACCGACCAAAGAGGGTGACAAAATTTTTAACAAAATGCTACTGAAGGAAACTTTTAATTGTGACCACGGCAGCCGATGCCCGCCCGACTCCTGAGCCGGACCGGGGCCGGCCGGGGCTACATCACCGACGGGCACCGGCGTAATTGGGACCGAAGCTTTACCGTGCCTGTATCTAATTAAGCGCGCCTGGAACAAGCCAAATTCCAGCAACAGTTGCGGTAAGCACCGCGAGTGTTACTACCGCCGGCCAGATAACCAGGATATCTGCTTATAGTACCTCTGCTACCAGACAACTGCCTAAACCTACGGCGTATTCCACAGGATTGTAAAAGTAGGGATGTTTCTAAAATATGCATTTACTCCAATATCAAAACAGCTACGGTAAAAATAAAAAGACGTGCATCATCCCGGACATAATGCAACACCACATGCGAAATTACACAGAAATGCGACGTACGGAAGAATGCGTTTTGGCTGCGAACATCTTCCAAAAAACTTGGCATCTCTTAACCATGGGCAAAAACATCTGGAACCACTTATCAAAACCACCCCGTATCTGCATGAACTTTTACCCCCCCCACTGCTATTCCAAACAACGCGTTTTTCTGGACCATTCCAATTCGCCTCGTAATTGTAGGGGTGCGTCTGCGATATTACATTGACCGCGAAAGCAGCAACGGCAAAAATACACATTCGTGCATCAACACGGGCATGCCCGCAGACGGCGTATAAAATTGCGTGCCGATTACACAAAGAGAACCCAGTGTTTTGACTGCGAACATGAAAAATCAGCCGATCACAACACTCCGTCCGGAGGTCCTGACCTCCTTCACGGAGTAATGACGGTATGAGGAATAAATCCTGAAAGATTCCTCAGGGAAAGTGAACGGCCTAAGACTAGTGGTACCAAACTTTTATTATGGTTATCTGCATTATAATATATGCTTCTTCCGATCCCCTTTTCACAGAGCTTTTCACAAAGCTACCAATAAGCACCATGTTGCCGGAGATAACAAAGGTAGTTAATATGTAGCTGTGTTAAATATTAGTTCGGACTAGAAGCTTCTATTTGTGTTAAAGCAAGTGAAACTGATGAGATAAATTTTGTTGACGCATTATAAGGTAACAATGTGGTTATTTTCGTAAATTTGTGGCATCTTACCTCCATCTGCCCTTGGCTGTGCAGCATTTGGGGCGTACATGGGGTTTTGGTGTAACACGTTCCCGATGTACATGGGGTTCCGAAGTAGACCGTCCGTCTTACCGGCAACAGACTCTGCAGTCGGCATTATTAGGACAGAGGTTAACCAATGTTTAGCAATGCTACTTTTGACTCTAAGTACCTTTTGAATTAAGCTATTAAACACTATGAATACTCATCTGGGCAAGAACATGCAATGAAGATGCATATCATTAATAAATAATATGCTAAAACTATATTCTTAAATCGTCTAATGCCTTTCACAGAGGATGAATGACGTAAACTACGAATAAAAACATAAAACTCAAAAACGGAAAATCGACAATGTCCTTAACAAGAAATTGTAAAGTTAAAACGATACGTATCAACTATGTCTCAGCCATAGATAAATAATATTTTCATGATTGGAATTTGGCATGATTGATTTATTGTTTACATATCAAAGGTTGACAAGTCTATTAAAATCTCCTATAATGTTGTAACTGTCACGAACGTA